TAAATTAAGAAAGCTCAGGTAACACGCTACATGATTTTGAGGTATGAAATCTATCCCACATTACATGGTAAGGTCATTTAGGGAAAGATGATGCAATAACTTTTTATATGATTTGGTCATATTTTGGCTAATTGTTTTATGAATATATATAGAGTGTATGGACATTGAGTGATATGTGCTAACAAATTTGAAAGAGCTTATTTATGAATACCATGTGTTATGGTGCCTCCTTGTGCTAAGAGTACGAACTACTTAAGGTAGTGATACACATGGAGATGTGATTTGATCAAGGGCTTTGAGTCATATGTATGAAATACGAGATATGTGTATGACTCATTCAAATATGTAAGCACAAAGGAGTGTTCTGATGGAACTCGGTCTTAGTGACCATCCTCCCAATAATGTCCTGTAATATGATATTTTACATGTGATGATGGTCTCTTCATAAAGTCTCCATATTTTCCAAAAAGAATTTTTGTCAAGATTTTGATAACAATTCTTTAGTCATGCTTTATTTTAGATAAAATTGTAGTATGGACTTTATGGCTTCTTTTTATAGCTGTAAACATGACTTGGTAGGTGAATGCGGTAAAATGATTTTTGAAGACTAAATATATATTTTAATATTAAATTGGATGTTTGGAGAAAAACTTGAGTCTTTATGAAAAATCATTTTAAACCGTCATACTATTATCTAACAATTGCTTGTGATATATTTATCAAGTCGATTTTTTTTTTTAAAAGGGAGAAAACCATTATGCCTTCAAGGTATTTATAAAATTGAGTAAAAAACTGTCATGCACATTTTTTTAAATACTCATATACCTTGACTCATGTTTGTAGTTATTTAGAATCCTCGATTGCCTAAGGCCTTAAACCATATGGAATGTTATCTTACTAAGTTTCCATGATACATGTTATATTGATTAGATACCTTGGTTTGTATAGATTTACTATTAAGATGATTAATGTGGTTCAACCTTTGTGGTTTATAAAAGGTTTTGCATATTGGGAAACCAATGGGCATTGAATTACTTATTGCATGAGACTTGATATGCTACCTCATGATATAGACATAAGTATGTTGAGAATGTATATATTGTATGTGTAATAATTGAGTGGGAGCTGCTACAGTCCCACATTCTTTTTAGCTGCTTGGATATTTAGATATACAGATGCAAGCTGTCTCAAGGATCCAGATGATGTGAAATCTACATCTGCATACATGTTCATACTTGGAGGGAATATAGTTCTTGAAAATCAAAGAAACATGATGCTGCAAGATTGTCCATCCTGAAGTAGAATACATGGCATTCTGTTTGGCAGCCAAGAATGACGTATGGATTAAAATTTTTTTCAATTGACTTGACTTTCAACCTGCGCGTTGTGAGGCAGTAAAGATTTTCTGTGACAACATGACAGTGATACGCATGTAAAAGGGAGTCACGATTCCATAATAACTCTAACAGTATAAAACTAAATATTCCAGTGGGAGCACCCAGAGTTTGACAGGCCAGCTGAAACAACAGACTATGGTGTTATTCACCCATGGAGCCCAGATGTGTGGCGCTAGTTGTATGACGACAGAAAAGAAGCGGCTTGTTTGAAAATTCCTTTAAGCCAATGAAGATACGATCCCATACGATGAGGATACGTGATGATTTTTTGTGACAGCAGGTCCATGATTTGCGATGCGATATGAAAGATGGACTACGACTACTTTCGGGATGAGATCTGAACAGTAAAGAGAAAGAAGTGTTACCTCTATGAGTCTTTTTGTGAAATGATTGATGGCGAAAGCCATGATTAATATATTGAGAGATATGGTTATTGGGAGAATGGGGATGAGAGAAAGTGAGAAATAGAATGTAAGGCTTTGAAGATGTTGGGTTTATGTGGCTTTTAAATGCCTTATGAGAGCTTGTATGAGCATTTTATATAGTGGAACATAAACTCAGTGGGAGTGTGATCATTTTGTGGACATTACTAGGCAAATGCGATTTGCCAACACTCGGATTAGGCTTGAGAGCTAGGCCAGCGGAGGTTTGGAAAAACCCAAAGTACCTGGGTATAGAGATCTACCGGGAAGGGTTTAGTGGGTTAATCCTTGATGAGGGCAGAGTATGCCCAGATGAGAGCCAGGGACTGTGTGACCCTTGTATGTGATGAATGGCCTTTAGAGACAGAGCTAAAACCTCATCATTATATCATCACACGGCATGTTCATAGATAGCTGTTTTGAGATTCACCAATGAAAGGTGAAGCGTGTAAATGTGCGAGAGATTACCCCTATACACAATAGAGTTATGGTTGCATCATGGTCTGGAGGACCATGATTTTTGTCTCTAGGAGAGAACTTCAAATCCATAAATTGGGATTGTGTCTCATAGTCTATTGGCTGACTTTGGTGATCCAATCATGAGCCCCCGCAATAGACTGTGGGTCATGGGAACTGTTGGATTAGTTTGAGAAAAACTCGACGGATCGCGATTCGCAGTTGAAGGTGGAGTGCTCCCATATATTGATAATTTTCTAAATCTAATAGATCTGATTCCCATCAAAATTAATTAATTTTAATTGATTTTATGTTATGTGATTTTTAAAATGTTAATTTGAATTTTTGTGAATCTTTCGATATTTTATTTTTATCATTTGGATTTATAGATTAAAAGAAATTAACTTTCCAATGTTTTAAATAAATACAAGATTTAAAATTTCTAAATATGAAATAAAAGTTTCTAAAAATATTTAGGACCTCCATAAGATATGGGGCCCAAAATTTAAAAGGACGTGGATTAGGTGGGGTCCACACGTGGCCACCAAAAGGGTGGCACGCCCCACCCATTCACGTAACATTCTTGGGAAGAATGTTTATCCTCTTAGTTAGCTTATTTTTTTAGGTATAGTCAACTTATGTGATAATGTTGAATATTTGAGATATTTACTAATTCTTTGAATCAAGATTGATTGATAAAATAATTAAGGATTATATATATTAAAATATAAACTTTTCTTATTTGATGGGAATAGATTTAAGAAAGGGATGATATGGTTCTAGCTCATCTCTTCAAATCTTGATGGTGGATCAAAAAGATAGTTGATTCAAATCTCTCACCTCATAAGTCTCCCTAGATCGACGGTTGAGATTTGACCCTACGAATTGAGACAAAATCTATTGCATAGAAAATCTATAAAATGAGGTCTCCTCTTCATAAAATTACGTATGTGTATTCTCTCTCTTCCTACTCAAAATTTAGCTCTATCTAGATTACCAAAGGGAGGCAGGCACGTCCCAATTTTATCTCTCTCTCTCCAAGTTATTTTGGGTGTCTTTTTATCTTTGGGGAATTCTTTTTTGGTGTCTGGCCTAAGCCTATGTAGTGTTTTATTTGTGGGTGGCAAAGGGGTGGAACCCCTTGCTAGTAGATCTCTCCCTCTGTCTTCATAGTCATATCTCGTCTCTCTAAAATTAAGCTGAGGCTTGATCAAGATTAAGCCATTGAGTGAATTTTTGCCATAGTAGAGAAATCAATATACTGATCATAGATCCCGAGCACCATTGGAAGGATGAGACTCGGCGTGGGATGTATTAAGCCCGGTTGAAGTAATCTCCGGTAATTTTACCTTTTTAAATATTTACTTCTCTTCCTATAAAGTAATAAAGTCTAGTTTTGTTTCTTGCATAAAGCATTGTATTTGAAGAGGTAGCTATTGAGAACCGATTTTATTTTTATTTTATGTATTTCAAGAGTGGTTCGATTATAATTGGACATTGTAAGTGATCTTGCCGATGTAGAGATAAATTTTTTTTTTTAAAATATATACATTGTACTTTATCATAAAGTCCTTTCAACATGGACGTGAGAGATTGATTGTGTACATAGAGATATTGGAAGAAAGCCAAGACAAATATTAAATTATGCAATCCCGAACGGTGCGTATGTGCCTTCAAGGAGTGGCATTGATCAGCTCCCTAAGTAGCTTCCTTTATCTCCGATAGTTCAGGGGACCACTTTTAGGCTTAAAGACTGGAGGCTCAGCAATCTTGCCGGCTTAACATTTAGGTTTCAGTAACCCGCCCAGCCAAACATTGACGTAAAGGTTAGATTAAACAAAGTTTTAAGTACAAAGTTCTATTACTTCTCAATTTGAAATTTCAGGTTGTAGCATATCTCAAATAAAATATATTGCATCTACTACAAAAGTAGAAATCCTGCTTTAACTCTCTTGAATTTTAAAATTTGAATTTTTATTGTTTTAGACCTTCATTTATATACTTTCCCTTTTTAAGGGCTTTTAAGTCATAAAAGCTGAGTTCATCTTTTAGCAAAATTTCTAGGCTTTAGAAATAGTTTCTAGTACTTTTTGGGATCTACAATAATGACATTTGTATCAGCTATCATTAGATAAGTGCATTCAACTTTTATTATTGTTTTATTACTTTCAATTTTTATCTTTTTCATGTGCCTCCAAACATTTATATTTAAAATGTATCAATTTTTGTTGTGAAAATTTTTACTATTTTTTTAATATTTCCTTACATACACGTGCGACACACAAAAGTCTACTAGTAGTATATAATCTCATAATTTAAATATTGGTCACAGTTCAACACCGTTCAATCAATGAATTGGATGGTGAAGGATAGCTTATTGTATAAGTTGATCAGGGACAGTATGGTGGGAGACATCAAACCTATCCATCATCGTCTTACATATTGATGACTTGCGAAGACTCTTGTGACTGTTTTTACCTTTACCATATGGATCTTGCCTACAATTTTTTTTTGTAAAAAAATGACTAAGGAAATGTAGGCTATGAAATATAGACTTCTCTTCCGCCTATTCAAAGTATAAATAGACTTCTCTCGTGGTTTTCTGCTGTTAATCACAGATAGTACACAAGAAAGTTAAAAAAAAAAAAGAAAAAAAAAAAAATTGGGATACGCCCATTCGAGTATGTGGTTGTGGTGCAACAACGGCCCGGATTAACGGGGTTAAAACCAAGGGTCCACATTCAAAAGCAGAGAACAAAAGCGAAACTCCATTTGAAATGAAGACAGCTTAGGCCTGCAAACTCCCCCTACACTCCTACCTAGTGTGCAGAGATGGCAGGCCTACCTGCCCAGCCCTTCTCATACTCCATCTCTCTCTCTACTGATGCATTCACTCCCTCTCTCTCTCTAAACCACATGAAATAAAAAACCATTCCCTTTCTCTCTCTAAAACCAGAGGAACCCTATCTCTCCCTTGCACCTAGTTTCCTCGCTATCTTTTACAAACTACTGGATCCCCAATACACCCTCGTGCCCTCTCTCTCTCTAAACCAGAGATACAGGCGAAGCCCTACCAAACTGACGTCACCCTCTCTCTGCGCCTCTCGTACGAGAACAAAAGTGAAAGCCCTATCTTAATCTTAGTCACAGTGGTATGAATATAACGGATTGTTCATGTTTTTTTGTTTTGAAAACCCTGTGATGGGTTTGCATTTGGGGTATTCATTACTGATATGCGTTTTTTGCTATGAAAAATAGGATGCTCGTTCTAATACTGTAAATCTGGTGTTTTTGCTAGTTTGCATTTAGGGTATTCAGTACTGATCTGCGTTTTTGCTATGAAAAATAGGATGTTTGTTCAAATGCTGTATATCTGGTTTCTTTGCTAGTTTGCATTTGGTGTATTCATTACTGATCTGCGGTTTTTGCTATGAAAAATAGGATGTTTGCTATAATGCTGTACATCTGGTTTTTTTGCTATGAAACATGCGTTTGCTGCGAAAAATAGGATGTTTGTTCTAATGGTTTAAACCTGCATTTTTTGCTTTGAAAAATAGGAGATGGGTTTGTATTAGTACTGCATTTTCAAAATATCGAGCTCAGAGATCTTAAATTTTGGGGCTAGATCTACACAAAACTAGGCTTTAATCCAAATAATTGAGCCAAAAATATAATTCTTTAACGAATAATGAATCAAATGAACCATATGTCACTAAAATCGAAGATTTTATCTTCAATTGGAGGCCTGTGACCAAATGCCCAAAATAAAAATGAAAAAGAAATACATGTTTCAGATTCAATTGGTGGGCTATTTCTTTTTCAATGGCAATTTTTTTTTTTAATACATTAGCTGTCCCATTATCATTGTTATTTCAATGGAAAAGGTTACTGATGTTGTTCCCATTATCCTTGATATTTCAATGAAAAAGTCTACTGATAGGCTTGAATTTGATTTATATGTGCTCATCCTATTTTTCTTTCATCACTATTTTTTAGGGCTACTTCTTTTTCTATGGCAATTGTTTTTTTTAATACAATAGCTGTCCCATTATCATTGTTTTTTTAATGGAAATGGTTACTGTTGAAGTTCATATTATCCTTGATATTTCAATGAAAAAGTATACTGATGGGCCTGAATTTGATTCATATGTGCTTATCCTATTTAACTTTCATCACCATTTTTTAGGGCTATTTCTTTTTCAATGGCAATTTTTTTTTAATTCATTAGTTGTCCCATCATCATTGTTATTTCAACGGAAAATGTTACTGATGAAGTTCCTATTATCCTTGACATTTCAATAGAAAAGTCTACTGATGGGCTTGAATTTGATTCATATGTGAAGAATTTTGAGTATGTTGTGTACTTTATGCACAATATGTGATGTGATGGGCTGATGAACTTGTGAATTTTGGGTTATCTTAATGCTTGGTTTGGGGACTATGGGTTGTGGTTCCTAAAAGTGATTCTTGTGGTAAGGAGACACAGTAGCATGCGCTTGATTAGCTATATGCCATAATGTGTAGGTATGCACTTGATAAGCTATATGCCATAATGTTTCCTCTAACATTGCTTTCTATGAGTGTACGAAGCAAGTCTAGGTTGTCTTTCAGTTTGTCTCCAACCTTCCCACATGGCTCTCTTATGTTACCATCTTGTGTGAAGATTGAGCTTACTCTATATCGCAGTTCCTCTAATATCCTTAAAGGAAATCAGGAGAATATACTATCGGCTATCATATTTCTCATATTAGCATGGTTATATAAGTTAACATCCAAAATACTTGGTTTGGTCACATATCCTTAATCTTTTTGTCCCACTTAAGATTACATAAAACTAATATAACATATATGTTAGGCATGATCAACTTGTTGAGACATTTTTTCAAATAGATACATGAGTTACGTGTCTTGACACTATTAATGTCACATATGAACTACAAAAGCACAAGGCCTATGATGTCTAGTCTAGTGTTTAATGCTCATACACATTACTTTAAGAGTTAAGTTCAAATTAATAAGAGTGCACCCCTGTTGTCTACAATTTCTTTGAATATGGTTGATCCTATAATGGAAGTAAGATTAGTTGAATAGTTAACTAGGAGTGTTGTTATGTTTATATAAATGTTTGAATACATATATTTATGTAGTTTGTTTTTCTATGTAGGGTTAGTTGAAAACCTTAGATGGATCACACCGTTTCAGGCTGTGTGTCATCTCCCACTTAGGCAATTGGAGACAACATAGGTGACACCAATGTGCCCATGGAGCAGGTTTCTTATCTTGCAACCCCTCCTAGAAAATTTACAGAAATACAAGATGGAGAACCTAACTCCTCAACTAAAGGCCTAGAAATAAATGTACCCCGTGTAGGAGTGAAGTTTTCAGAGGAAGATGCAATGGGCTATTATAAGGCTTATGCATTGGCCAAAGGCTTTGGTATCCAGTTGGGCACTACCCATAATAATAAAGGTGAAAAAATTAGTAGAGAAATTAAGTGCTCTAAGGAAGGATTTCGCAAAGTGAAAGAGCAAGTTAGTGGAAAGAAACTCCCTGAATCAAGGTGTGGGTGTAAGGCTAAGCTAGGACTCAATAGAAAAGTAAACAATGAGTGGGTTGTGACTTGGTTTATTGATGATCATAATCATGATCTAGGTTGTCCAAGAAAAGCTTGTCTAATTCGCAGCTACCGAACGTTGTCTAGTGTCACGAAGTTGATAATAAATTCAATGAGTTCGGCAATGGTTAGGCCAAGACATATTCATGACATATTTATAACGCAAGCTGGAGGGATCGAGAATGTTACATGTACACAAAAAGACATCGAAAATGAAATTGCGAGTGGCAGAAGAAAACTAAGAGGAAAAGATGGTAGTCTAGTTATGCAATGGCTCTATAAAATGAAAGAATCGAACCCATCTTTCTTCTATAAATTGAAATTAGATTAAGACGATCACATTCCCAACATCTTGTGGGTAGATGCCACATGTAAAGTTTCTTATCGATGTTTCTCTAATGTGGTTACATTTGATACTACATACAAAACAAACACTTTTAGTATGTCCTTTGCTCCCATACTTGGTGTAAATCACCATTTCAATACAAATTTCTATGGATTTACACTCATATTTGATAATAAGGTAGAATCATTTGTTTGGGTATTTGAAAATTGGTTAGAAGCAATGAGTGGACAACAACTGGGTATTATTATCACTAATCAAGACCATGCAATTTCAGCCACAGTGAGATAAGTTTTTTACCAGAGTGAGCATCATTACTGTAAGTGACATATACTATTCAAAGTTAAAGAAAATCTATGCCATGTCTTGCGCATGCATCCTTCTTTTTCAGATACTTTCAGGAGTTATATAGCTAGCCCAGCAGTAGAAGAATTTGAAAATGGATGGAAATTGATGATTGAGAAATATGAGTTGGAAAACAATGAATGGTTAAATAGGTTATATGGTTGTCGCAACAAGAAATATGTGCCAAGGTGCAAGATAAGAAGGGGTACGAAAAGAAAAGGAAAACGACTTAAAAAACATTACAACTACTCCAATCTTAAGAACAACTTCTTTATTTGAGTCACAGGCATCAAAATATATACTCAAAAGATTTTGAAGATATTTGTGGAAGAGGTTGCCAATTGTATGAATTTGATGAGTGAGTTAGTTGATGAAAATGGACAACTTACCACTTTTAAGGTGGCAGATATGGGAATCAGATCTAGATCATACTTAGTGGAATTCAATCCCAATGATAAGAGGACTAATTGCAGTTGTCACTTATGTGAGAGGATGGGCTTTCTTTGCAGGCATGTGTTTAAGATTTTTATGATGAAAAATATTTTTGAAATACCTCCACAATACATTATGAGGCGTTGGTCAAAGAACGTAAAGAGGGGGTTTTTTGTTGATGATAGAGGAAAAGAACTTCATGATACATGCACTACCACGCTCCATTCGATATAACGATGTCATGCTGGCTGTTCGATACCTTGCTAAGCATGCGTCAGAAAGTATGGAGGTTCATGAATTTGTAATATCTTTAATACACGATGATATCATAGAGGTTAACAATAAATTCGGTTATAAAGCAACACCCACAGGTTGACACTATGAGCTATGTCAATGATGAGAAGAGTGCTACTAGTTGTAGTGACACACCAAATGGAAGTTACAATTGCTAGAATGTTCTGGATCCTCCATGAGTACGGGCAAAGGGACGGCTGACAAATGCAAGAAAAAAAGCTCGATCAGAGGGATGGAAGCCAATAGAGAAGTCTAGGAATGCGCAGTTTGCCAAGGCAGTGGGCATGACAGAAGAAATTGTCCATCATACGTTCGTTAATCCATACCTTTAGATTCTTTTGATTTTTAATTGTATAAGCTTTTCAATCTAGATGTATTAGCAATTTCATATGATATTAGTCATTGTGAATACATTATGAAATGCTATTATTGCAATTTCTTTTCTTACTACAGGGTTATTTCCAAAGTCCGCCATAAGATTCGGTCTCATAAGAACGTGGGACATGAGCATTGATGTTAAGCAACATTATGTATTATGCATGCATGTATTAATTATTTTAAAAATTTTATGTACTCAGGGTAAGCAACATTATGGTAAGCAGCGTTATGTATTATGCTTGTGACCAGATATGGATTGCTCTTTCAAGATGTCATCGGTTGGAAAATCAGCTTATATACAATATTAGAATTGGCTGTTACGCAGGGCTCACAATGGATCTTCATAACTCCGCATGACATCAGGTATAAACTAAAATTTGTATCTATCATTCTTATGAATTGTAATCTCTGTTTGACCTCTCTCTCTTTCTTAAGAATTTAATGATTGTAACCTCTAATTCAGATTGTTAATTCAAATGGACTTTGAATTGACAAACCATCTGAGTTATAATTCCTCTCTTTTAGCTTACCTAATCTTGTTTGTGGAGTATCATTGTGACTATTCTCTAAGTCATTTGGTGACTGTTATTGTGGTCATTCATCTTCTAGCTTGGATTAGTTAATTCAATTCTTTTGGTCCTTGTGCTTTCCAACTCAATAGTGTCTTCCTTGTTTTTGACATGTCCATGGATTTAGAATTAGTTAGGATGCTTGTTGATTTGAATTGCCATGTTTAGTTCCTGCTCTCTTGTTGGTTTGCACATGGCCATCGAAACATTGATGGGAAGATCATGGAAAGTTAAGGTTGTTTCATATGGACCAGTTCAAAATAACGTAAAACCTTGGACTCCTATGCCTATGTCTATGTCACACTCCATTGTTGACTGAGACGCCCGAGCATGCTATGGATTTTGTCTCAAATGAGATTTCTCGCCATTTGTTAGCTATCTAAAATTTGCTTATGTGGTTTGCACTGCTATAAATATGTGCTAGTAATGAAATCTGTAAACTTATTTCTAAGAGTTTGCAACAATGTTTCAAACCAAATCACATTTCAAGGTAGTCTTCTACAAGAAGCACACAATTCATATCGACTTTAATTTACTCTAATTTAAATCCAATATCGACACCAATAATTGTTTCATGGGTTGTGAGATACTTTACAACAAAAGTAATACAAACATAAACGCATTCGTTACACAAGAAAAATGTAAACTGTTGCTATAGAAACAAAAAACAATCTACGAAAACTAAAAAGAAAAAACAAAAACAAAAAAAAGAAACAACTAACCACAACACAATGATATACGTAGTTCAGCAATGTATTTATGTCCACAAAAGATGAAAACTTTTTTATTGGCAACGAAAAATAGAGTAACACAAGCTCTTTTCCTCATGTCTCTCTTATTACAAAGCAATCTGTATTTTTTTTTAACTATTGATGAATCTCCAATTGCAACAATATATATCGAATTTTAGATAGATGGTATAAATTATCAAAATACTTTTATACGAATATATATTAAGTTTTAAATATATCAAATCCCATATACGGATATATTTAAATTTTTTCTTAAGGGTTATCGTCCCAAAACCTCCGGAAGGGCCAAGTCCATCATGTCAACCTATCAAGACAACTCTTTTGAGCCTCAAACCCTACGGGCCTTCGGGCTTTTAACGGCCCTCTGGAGTCGTCTTTTTTACTCCATGTTGGAAGATTTATTTCACATCAATACTCAAATAGTTGCATTCGCCCTAAAGTATCAACAATTCGTTGTTGACCATTAGTTCAAGATTGACCATAATATGCTATTGCGATTATTGTAACTAATTTGGAAAAAAGTACAATTTGGACATTGATAGTATATTCTTCATGGGTACCATTGGTTCAAGATTGACCATAATATGCTATTGCGACGGTTCATGATTGACCATAATATGCTATTGCGATTATTGTAACTAATTGTTTGGTTAAATTTGTGACGCCTCAACTTTACATTATAATTCATCCCTTCCATATATTCACCATATATTGGAAAAAAGTACAATTTGGACATTGATAGTATATTCTTCATGGGTTAGATCGGGAGCTTGATATACTTATTCATCATACATTGGAAAAAAAGTACAATTTGGGCATCGATAGTATATTCTTCTTGGATTAGATCGGGAGCTTGATATACTTACGTTGCACTGTGGATAGGTTCGCCGTGGATATAGTTGTAGTTCAAAGGTGTAGACTTGCATCCCAATTTCATAAGAAGTAAACAAAGGAAATTAATTATTTTCCCTCGATAGCATGAAACAATGGAAAAAAAATTCTCACACTGAATGCTTTTCAATCACTAACAATTTGTAGAGTAAAAAAATAAGCCTATTCAAACCAGATACGCTTGAAAGTTCAAGCAACCAATAACAATTTATACATGATGCGCATAGTAGGAATGAGTAGGTACGGAAGAAATAATGGAATCACGTGGTATGGTTTGGTGATCCAACGGAAAGGCTTGCAGACGATACAAATGAGCAGCACGGAAATAGCTCAAGGTTTTGGAGAGAAACCAATGATGTTATACATTTAATCAATATAGATATATACCTTAAAAAATAAGGTATACACTCCTTGTATATAACATACATAAGACAACGAATAAAATAAAGATAAAGCAAACAATAACAATTTATACATGATGCGCATAGTAGGAATGAGTAGGTACGGAAGAAATAATGGAATCACGTGGTATGGTTTGGTGATCCAACGGAAAGGCTAGCAGACAATACAAATGAGCAGCACGAAAATAGCTCAAGGTTTTGGAGAGAAACCAATGATGTTATACATTTAATCAATATAGATATATACCTTCAAAAATAAGGTATACACTCCTTGTATATAACATACATAAGACAACGAATAAAATAAAGAGATTTCAATCACTAACAGATACATTCAAGCTGACGAGCAACTAAAGCAAAGACAATAGTAATGGACGATCCCATGGAGGGGATAGGAGCATCAACACATGGTGAAACAGAAGTTACATGGTACATCATGATAACTAATTGCTAACATATTTTCCTCTTTGATACATAGCCTTAATTGCAAACTAGAAATAATACACATCAATTTGCATCCAATATAAACAAACAACGTTCGAAACAAATAACAGATCCATAACATAGTCAAGACTATTCACTAGAACAAAAAGACTCTGAGAAATCCATTTATGGTTGGCAAGTCATTGCCTCATGCCAACAAATGGCTGAATGAGATTTCAAACAAGCAACAGAGATCGATAATGAAATTTCTACAACCGGTTTGCAATCACCTAAGAGTATAGCATCAACCTTCATGCATGTCTAAGCTAGCACTTACTGAATGAAAAGACAACTTCAATGAGATTGCTATGAGCACTAAACACTAGATTAGATACCATAGGCCTAGTGCCAACAAATGGCTGAATGAGATTCCAAACAAGCAACAGAGATCGATAATGAAATTTCTACAACCGGTTTGCAATCACCTAGGAGTATAGCATCTACCTTCATGCATGTCTAAGCTAGCACTTATTGAATGAAAAGACAACTTCAATGAGATTGCTATGAGCACTAAACACTAGATTAGATACCATAGGCCTAGTGCTTTCATAGTTCACATATGACATTAATAGTGTCAAGACACAGACCTGATGTATCTATAAAAAAAAAATGTTTCAACAAGTTGATCATGCCTAACAAATTTAAGAATTTTACTAGTGAGACTGCATGCTATTGTGTCTCCTTACCACAAGAATCACTTTTAGAAACCACAACCCATAGTCCCCAAACCACGTATTAAGATAACCCAAAAGTCACAATTTCATAAGTACTTATATAACTTACGAATATCCTCCAAAAAATCCGCCCATCACATCACACATTGTGCATAAAGTACACAATGTACTCAAAATTCTTCACATACGAATCAAATTGAAGCCCACATATGAATCAAATTCAGGCCCATCAGTATACTTTTCCATTGAAATATCAAGTATAATGTGAACTTTAACAGTAACCATTTCCATTGAAATAACAATGATAATAGGTCTGCTAATGTATTAAAAAAAAAATGCCATTGAAAAAGAAATAGCCCTAAAAAATAGTGATGACAGAAAAATAGGATGAGCACATATGATTCAAATTCAAGCCCATCAGTAGACTTATCCATTGAAATATTACGGATAATGGGAACATCATCACTAACCTTTTCCATTGAAATAACAATGTTAATTTTCTTTTTCATTTTTATTTTGGGCATTTGGTCACAGGCCTCCAATTGAAGACAAAAGAAAAAATACTCGATTTTAGTGAAATATGGTTCATTTGATTCATTATTCGTTAAATAATTACATTTTTGGTTCAATTATTTGGATTAAAGCCTAGTTTTGTGTAGATCATGCCCCAACATTTAGGATCTCTGAGCTTGATATTTTGAAAATACAGTACTAATACAAACCCATCTCCTATTTTTCAAAGCAAAAAACGCAGGGTTACACCATTAGAACAAACATCCTATTTTCATAGCAAACACATGTTTCATAGCAAAAAAACCAGATTTACAACATTAGAACAAACATCCTATTTTTTATAGCAAAAAATGCAGATCAGTAATGAATACCCCAAATGCAAACTAGCAAAGAAACCAGATTTACAGCATTAGAACAAACATCCTAATTTTCATAGCAAAAAACACAGATCAATAATGAATACCCCAAATGCAAACTAGCAAAAAAACCATATTTACAGCATTAGAACAAACATCCTATTTTTCATAGAAACAAATGCATATCAGTAATGAATACCCCAAATGCAAACTCATCACGGGGTTTTCAAAACAAAAAACATGAACAATCCATTCTATTTGTACCTTTGTGACTGCGATTATGATAGGGCTTTCACTTCTGTTCTCGTATGAGAGGCGTAGAGAGAGGGAGACGTCAGTTTGGTAGGGCTTACTCTGTATTTCTGGTTTAGAGAGAGAGAGAGGGTGTATTAGGGCTCATGTAGTTCGTGAAAGATAGAAGAAACTGGAGATAGGCTCCTCTCGTTTTAGATAGAGAAAGGGAATGGTTTTTGATTTTGTGTGGTTTAGAGAGAGAGAGGGAGTGGATGCATCGGTAGAGAGAGAGAGAGATGGAGTATGAGAAGGGCTTGAGCCTGGTAGGCCTGCCATCTCTACACGGTAGGTGGGAGTGTAGGCGGGAGTTTGCAGGCCTAAGCTGTCTCCATTTCAAATCGAGTTTCACTTCTGCAGCTAGTGTTTCTCCTTTTGAATGAGGACCCTTGATTTTAACCCCGTTAATTCGGGCCGTTGGCGCACCACAACCACATACGCCAATGGGCATATCCCATATTTTCCTCTATATATATATATATAAAAGGAGTGTAGAATTAAGTGAGAGGTTAAGAAGGCATTGGGCTAGAGAGAGAAAAATGATGTTCAAAGTGAGTTAGAGAGAGAGGATAAGGGACGCCACAATGCCTTGTAAAGAGAGAAAAAGTGCGTGAAATGACGTGGGTTGTTGGGCTCGAAGGAATGTGTGCACGAGCTCTTCAGTTGTTAGGATGAGTGATTTGTTCAGCAAGGGATGCTTACGTGAGTAAAATACAATGGATGAATGC